TATTTTATAAATCACACACTATAAATATAATAAAGAAGCAGAAACAGATAGTTGCAGTAAAGTAAGATATTTTAATAAGTTGAAGAAACAATTTATGATTTGTGACACGCACATACACACGAACAGACACACAAACAAACACGAAGAGAAACACACACACACACTTTCACACACATAACGCAGCCACCGAATCCACCGAACGCAGCCACCTGTAATAAAAATTGAGAAGAAGCTTTTCAACGTGTTTGCATCAGTAATTTCTAAAAAATTAAATTCGGACAACATTAAGCCTACCTTTTTTATTGTATGTGGATGTGGGAGGGGAAAATGTCGAGACTAAAGCCCTATTCGGATTAACTTTACAAGGGTAGATGGAGTAAGTTAATAATGTAGTTTTACCACAGGACTTCTGTAATATCAATAGCCAAATCGCATGTGATAAGATAGGTTATCAATAAAACTAGAAGTTGGAGGGGTAACTCAATTTGCGCATCGCTGTAATGCTTGTATTTACATTGCTTCCTGATATCATGTGCGTGTAACTGGTCTCCTGTTACATGCGCAAACACAAATAACCTAGCTATACAACAGGGCAGTTGAATGCTAATCTGATAACCTAGAAGCTCTTGTAATTACTACTTTAACAGTTACCCCACCTCTCCATGCTGGGTGAACACCGGCTGATGTAAACAGCATTTCACAACGATTTCAGTACAGTAATAGCAAATATCCTTGCTCCTTCTTGATTATCTGGTAATATTCTATTCACAAAATACAACCAATAGTACGGTAATGTTAAGACTTACTTGTGAAAAGCCCTATTTTCGATGGTCCGACGATTAGAACAGGAAAATGCTCCACAATGCTCTGGCATCTTATCTGCTGCCACGCAACGAAACTAGGAATACGACCGGTTCAAGATGGCGGCCGGATTTCTCGGTTTCCAGCGGCCAATAGGGCATCTAGTCTCTATATGATATCTATGCCTAAGAAGGTGTCAGATTACAGCTGTACGTGGCATATAACAAGGATTACAGCGTACTTTACATTTGCTTTCAATTTATTCTAATAATGTTTAATTATTAATGTTATTTTATCTTGCTTCATTATTGCTCATATGTTTAATTGTTGTAATTATTATTATTATGTATATTCATGTTTATGTTACTGTTTATTTTATAGAAAACCACAACCATACAAGCCAGTCTGTTGATGGTGACAATAAATGGGTTATTCCCAGAAAGTAATTGCATCTTCGATTTAGTCTCTAATCGGACAGTCTTTGGTGGGTCAGCACCCTGAGCTGGCAACTTGTGTCTTTTAAGTGCTACCAATCGTAGGGGTGGGCGCTATACCGGTATGAACGTGAATACCGGTATTATGTTGTGCCATGATATGGATTTTGCGATACAGAGGATACCGTATTAATAAATTCTAATTTTGCAGTTATATTGTTTTGTTCAATTTGGTACTCTTTACAACTGTTAACACTAATGACGATACAGAATAGAATACGCTGTTTAAGGAAATGGCTGATTTGGCGCTTCATACGCGTGAAGTTGCTGAGGCGATTAACCGCTGTCCTGTGATGCGTTCAATGAAGGACCGTAATGTAGAACACATCGCTAGTGCTAAGCGGCTGTTCATAAAGGATGCATCTTTTGCGGTGGAATGGGAAATAACAAGGTAATGAGACGCAAGTTTGACTTTTAACTTGAGCGCAGCATTTTTAGAATGCCGTTTCATTTGCGAGACGCGGGTGCCAACACCAAAACAAGTTCGTCAAGCACACAAAAACGTTAAAGTTCTAGGCTACTGTATGTTTGAGATGTCATGTTTTCATGAAGGTTGAAAGGCTGAAAGCTGCTATTATTATCTTTGTTTTTACAAAACATTTACTGCAAATAATATTATCCACGTGGAGACATTTCCCCGCAATGTACGTTAGGCTATGAATAACAGGACACGACACACACATAAGCGCGCGCATACACACGACACACACATAAGCGCGCACATACACACACACTGGTCCACTATCTTTGTGGGGACTCTAGACATAATGGGTTTTATACTGTACAAACTGTAGGCCTATATTCTGTCTCCTTACACTAATGAATTAGTTTGTATGAAAATTTTCATTGTTTTTTTTCTTGTATACTTTTAAGTTCTATTTATTTGGTGCTTTGTTCAATCTCAAACCATTATTTTATTTGTATTATTAAGATGTCTGCACAAGAGTTAACTGTAATCTGTGCAAATATTAAACTTAAATTAAACGTCTCACTTTGGTCTACTGGAAGTGTTCTGCTCGCTCTGCTAAAGCTAAACTATAATTACTAAAACTGAAACTAAATAAAATAAAAACTATATAGAAATGTGTTTGCAAAATAAAAACTAACAAAACCATTAATGAAACTAACTAAAACTAAACTGAAATTTAAAGCAAAATTGAAAACGATATTAAAATAAAAACTAATTTAAAAAAGCAAAACTATAACAACAGATATTCCCGGAGACAGAGCACACCCGAAGACGGCTCTCACTCAGAAATCAATAAAGTCTTCATTCGCTGCCGGTTCTTATTATGACAAGACTCGCAAAACGTGGAAAGACATAACAAGTGCATTCAGGCCTAACTCATGTTGCACGTTTGCACTTTTTGAGAGAAAAATGGCACAGTAAAAAAAAAAAAAACCATTTCAGGTCTCCATGTCCAATGAAATGCCTCACCTTTTTCTAGTTATCTAGTGTTAAAATACATATTTTGCCTGTAATTTAACTAAGGTGTACTAAAATGTGATTCCAATTTTTTTTCTCATATCGCGATATAATACCGATATCGTCCGGACAGTGAAAAATATCGTGATATGAATTTTTGCTCATATCGCCCACCCCTAACCAATCGGAAACATTTTTTCAAGTAAACATGATTCTAAACATTATAATATTCACCATGTAAGGGATAATCCACGGCTAGCCATGCATTAAAGGATTTTAATGCACGACGTAGAGGCGGAGAACCACCCGACGCGAAGCGGACAACTGACCAAAGAGCCAATTTAATTTGTTTCGCTTCCAAATTAAGGACGATATGGACATTTTTGGAGTCTCAGAATGAATTGCATAATTATGGAGATTTGATTTATTTCAGTTTTTAAGTTAAATGCCTGTATCTCTGAATTGCAAACTATTCCTTTGTCTGTAATTTGCACACATTCACACATTTAATCAATGTCTGATTACAGCAATAAACCCTCATCAATATTCATTCAGCTTCTCTATGAACTGAATTGAAGGATTGATAGTTTAACAGTGCTGGAAATATAGAGCTCATTTCTATTAAAAAACGTTTTTACGAAGATAAATTCATTTTTTTGTTTGTCATTTTTTAGAGTCGGTTTAAAGAAAGTATTTAAACAAATCTCTGTCTCTCGTGTAAAACATTCTGGGAACAATTAACCTAACATCGTATCATTATTTCACACATCCTTTTTTAAAGTTTAGTTGTCAGTGTTGTGTTTGTTTCATGTCTCTAGTTTGTGTTGTGTGTCAGCACATGGCTCTGTCTTTCTTTGTGTTTTCCATGTCCTGCTCTTGTTCCGCCTCCTTGTTTCCCGTTACCGCGCCCCCTTGTTTAGTCCTTGTCTAGTCCTTGTTTCCTTGATTGTTTTCACCTGATCCTCATGTGCTGTTCCCATTATATTGTGATCGTTTCCTTCATGTCTTTGCTGATTTGGTGTGTGTAATCTTTAGGTGTGTGTTATTGCTCAGCTTGTCAGTGCAACAGTTAGTGTTTCTGTCAGGTCTAGGGTTTAGTATTTTCTTTGTTCCTGATTTTTTTAGTCTAGTCAAATCCTAGTCTTTATTTTGCTCTAGTTCTTCCAAGCTTTATTTTGGTTCACCTCTTGTTTTTGCTTTTGTTAACTAATCTTTTATTTTTATATTCTCTTTAGCTTCATGCTTGCATGCAGTCTTGTTTTTTTTTTACTATAGTTCCAGTTATTCATTTGTATAACTTATTTTATTTTTCCCTTGCTATTGCTCCGGTTATATTTAGTTTCTTATTCTTTTCTGGTGTTCTAGTTTATTTTGCTCTTGATTTTGTTATCTCTTGTTGTCTTGTGTGTCCTTGTTGGCTCCTGTCTGCTGGTTCCTTCTGGCTGGCAGTTAGACTGGTCCAGGGTCTGTGTCCAGCAAGTGTCTCTGCTTCATGATTCCTTTGCCCTGTCTTCACCACAACATCTGCCTGGCCTGGTCACGTCCTCAGCAGTTCTTTGACCTGTCGTCCTCTGGACTTGGTTCCTGCAGTCACCCACAGCTGTCCTGTCGTTGTGTCCTGTTGACTCTTCTCACACTTTCTTGTATGGTTTTCTGTTAATAAATATCAATCCGTTGCTCATTCTGCGTCTGGGTCTCCCCTGAATCCTGACAAATAAACCCTCATCAATATTCATTCAGCTTTTCTATTAACTTAATTGAAGAATTGATAGTTTAACAGTCCTTGAAATATAGAGCTCATTTCTGATAATAACACTGCTTTTGAGAAGATAAATTCATTATTTGTTTTACATTATTTAGTGTCGGTTTAAAGAAAGTATTAACATTCTGGGAAGAATTATCCTATATCATTATTTCACACATCCTTTTTTAAAGATTAGTTCATATTGTTATATTAAAATTGTGTATTGAACTTTAAACTGTTATATTATGAAATATGTGCAAACTAGTTTCAATTAATTGTCAAGTTTGACGTTCTATTGATATACAATAATCACAATCTTTTTTGTTCTAACTGAGCTTATTTCTGTCATTGGTTTGCATTTTGTATGATTGTGGATTTAAACATGTGCACATATATGTTATTATTAGTTTTTCAATACTTTTATTTCTTTTTCATTTAAACTTAAAAGACGTGATTTTTTTGTTTCATATATTGTGTTCTGATGTCTCAAAAAAAAGGAATTGTTTCTAAACGACTATTTGAGCAAAACATTTGCACCTGGATAATCTCGAGTGATTGTAAGTGTGATGATCATCTGCTAAATGAGCAACAACGACCACAATTCACTCCTTCAGTCAGTGAAGCTCCCACAGCCGTTCATGAGAGTTTAAATGCTGGGGAATATTCCCATCTTCCCACAGGAGAAGAAGAAGCAAGCAGGAGGAATTACTCCAGGAGAAACTACGGACATACTATTGTAAAGATGGAGATTAAGGAAGAACCCTGCAGAATAAAAGATGAAGACACAGAGGAACAAATAGGTTGGTGTTTTCCTTCATTCTCTTCAATTTAGATGAAAACTGACATATAACTATACATCTAAAACTAGATACTAGGAGACTCAGAAGTAAACTAGATTTGTGCTAAATTAAGATTTAACTTTATTTCTTTGTTTCTCATTTGTCCTTTTTTAAATTGAATTTATGTTGGTTTCAGACCGGATGGAAGTGAATGAAGACAAACACCATCATTTCACAAATGAAGAAGGCAAACTGACATATAAAAATGAAGACAAACATCTGTTACAAAAACCTCATCATTTCAAAAATGAAGAAGGAAATGCAGTCGTTTCAAAGACTGAAGAGATTTTCACACAAAAACAAGCTGGAAAATCTGGAGTCAAAAGATCTTTCACCTGCTCTGAGTGTGGAAAGAGTTTCATTCAGAAAGGAAATCTTAATCTACACATGAGAATTCACACTGGAGAAAAACCGTTCACATGCTCTCAGTGTGGAAAGAGTTTCACTCAGAAAAGAAATCTCAGAGATCATCTGCGCCGTCACTCTGGAGTGAGATCATTCAGCTGTGATCAGTGTGATAAAACATTTGTTTTTGAATCAGGCTTAAGAAGACACCTTAATGTTCATGTGAAGCCTCACTTTTGTTCTGTATGTGGAAAGAGTTTTTCACATCTCGTCTCTTTAAAATTGCATGAGCGTATTCATACTGGTGTGAGACCTTATGTGTGCTCTGACTGTGGAAAGACCTTTATTATATCCAGCAACTTAAGAAAACACCAGAGAGTTCATACTGGAGAGAAGCCGTACAAGTGTTCACACTGTGGAAAGAGATTCTCTCGGTCAGGACACCTGAAAGCTCACGAGAGAGTTCATACTGGAGAGCGTAAGTTGCAGCAGCTGCGAGGACAGTGAATGTGCCGCCAGTCGTAAAGGAGTGATTGATTGGTCGCGGCACTGTGTGCAAAAAATACTTCGGCCTAATGTCTGATGTCAGTTACAAAGCAAATCATCTACATTTTTTTTTCACAATGACATTTGAGTTCATGATTTTAATGTTGTTGTTTTTTTGTGGCAAACTAAAGACTAATGACTGACTGTTGATCTTAGAATGAAAATATGTTTGGTTCAGGTGTGAAATTTTGAGAATAAATTTCTCTAAATTATAATAATTTCTCTCCTTTTTAAAAATCTTAAAACAATCATTTTGTTCCTTAATTACCTATTAAATACTCACTGTCATCCAAGGTTCTGGCCTTTGCTTGATTCTTATCTCTTTTTAGGGGGCCACCTTATTCAATACTTTAAAAAAAATTATCTTAAACCTGTCCCAAGCCGACTCCACATCTTCACATTGCATCACCTCAGTCCAGTTAACCAGACTAAGTTATTCTTTAAAAACTTCCGAACTGTATTTCTTGAGTGATCTTATTTTTGCTGTATTATGATGCCTAATAGACACTCTCCTCAATTTTCTAATTAAATAAACTATACAGTGATCTCTAATACTAGCCCCCAAGACCCCACTTCTACTGATCTAAGAATGATCCGATACCAATTTCACGAGTTCACACTTACATATAATTAGAGTGGATAAGATTTAATGCGTATTTGGCGTGCTGTCCGGGGGGAGGGCCAGATGCAAAAATATAACTTAATCGGGATGAAATGACAAAAATAACCACACAGATAGGTAAAATAATATTATACACATGAATTAGAGTGAAAATATAGACATAATAGCAACAATTCAAATAGAGATTAATTAAGATTATCGGGAGCCCAAAATAACCTCACCTCTCACTGCAATCATCAATGCAAAGAGGAAGAGGAGGGGACAGAACAGGAAATTATATTGACTCATGACATCACATTAATTAAAGGGGAAGGTACTCATTCCACTTAGGCACTCATATCAGGACATGTAAACGAACAATTTTGTGAGAATTCTAATAAACTATACATACATTTAACAGTACACTTTATGTACCTGTTACACTCACCCCTCAGAATTTACACAAAATTCACCTGAGTACAATAAAAAAAACACTGGTCACTAGAATTACATGGTCCACACTTAAAAAAAGTGGAAACACAGCATAAAAAGCTACCCAAACGAAAGGGATACAAATATGAAGAAAGTTGGCCAAACTTCAACACATATTGTAGGCATTACCAAAGTGCCCATTACACTTTGAAAAATCTCAGACCAGGTACTTAAACAGAACCAATACGCATAAGAAAATGCAAGAATTGACACCTAGCATTGTCAAAGAGAGTGGGAAGAGAGAAGAAAAAAATAAATCTATACATGAATAACTGGAGATACAGACTCAATACCAAGTAAGGTTTCTAGTTGAACCATTGACTCAATCAACCTACGAACAGGCTTAATTACCCTACCAAGCCTGGTAGTGTAACGATCACTTGTATTTAAATCAGCTACAGGATCTCGCCTAAAGGGTTCATTGGCAGAGACAGGACTTTGGGGAGAGTGGATAACACCAGCCACAGCCACAGTATTATCATCAGTCACTGACACAGCAACTTGTGCATGTGGCTCCTCTTGATTGGACAACTGAGAATGCACCCATGAAGAAGTGCGGTCATCACCACAAGTAGCAACATTGGAGATGTTCGACATAGAGCCTGCATGTGAGAGTTCCTCAGCCTCATTCTGCCCATCATCTGCGTGCCCAGCAGACTCAATTTCAGCAACGTAGAAGGACTCACCACTGCCTGTCTGCTCGGTTAGACCACCACAGTGTGCTGCATCAGATGTCTGTGAAGGTACACTACAGGCAAGTATTTCAGCAACCTCACGATCAGAACTAACCATTTCTGGTTCAAGCAGCGGGAGGAAGTTCACTTGAAGAAGAAGATTTCGATGCACTATCCTCTCATTACCAGCTCTGTCACTGATCTTATAGACATGTATGGAAGGCTTTGAGGCAACAACAGTGTACATGACTGGCTCCCATTTGTCAGCAAGTTTTCTTTTCCCTCTACAACCCTTGTTAGCCACAAGCACTTGGTCACCAACGGCTAGAGGTAGGCCTTTAGCTCTTTTGTTGTACTGGCTGGACTGGTGTTTTTGTTCCACAACAGCATTTTTCTGTGCTAACGCCATGGCAGACTGGAGGTCGCTGACAAGAGATTTGACATACTTGTCATAGTCACAGATTGTCTTATCCTGCAGGACACTGCGGAACATGAGGTCAACCGGCAACCTTGGTACCCTACCGAACATCAGGTAAAAAGGGGCGAAACCTGTTGTTTCGTGTGCTGTGCAGTTGTACACAAATGTCATAGTCTGTATCAACTGTGGCCACCTCTGTTTAGGCCTAGGTGGAAGAGATCTCAGCATATTTCCTAATGTCCTGTTAAAACGTTCGGTACCACCATTCCCCATTGGGTGGTAAGGGGTGGTTCTTGACTTGTCAACTCCAGCCAGTTCAAGAAGCTCGGCAATCAACTCACTCTCAAAGGTAGCCCCCCTGGTCAGAATGGATGCGTTGGGGAAATCCATAGATGCAGAAAAAGCTGTCCCAGAGTTTCTTAGCCACTCTTTTCGCTGTCTGGTCTTGACACGGGAATGCATTCGCCAGCTTTGTGAAGTGATCCGTGACCACTAAAACATCCACAGATTTGTTGTTCCGATCTTCAGCGGACCAGAAGTCAATGCAAACGAGCTCCAGTGGGGCAGTGGTCTTAATACTCTCCAAAGTGGCTCTCGCTGCAGGCTCTGGAGTTTTGCTGAGGACACACCTGGGACATTTCTTCACGTAATCACGCACATCACGCTCCATGTCAAGCCAGAAAAACCTCTGACGGGTCAAAGACAGAGTACGAGGCTGCCCTTGATGTCCAGCCAGGTCGTGAACACCCAAAAGTGCCTCAGATTTCAATGAGTCAGGTAAAACGAGTTGGAACTTCTTGTGCTTGGTGAGCGGGTCTTTAATAGCTCTGTACAGGATTCCATTAAGCAAAGAAAGCTTGTCCCACTGCTTTATAATTCTCAGCACACACTGGTTATCATTGGCACGCTCACGTCTCGATGGTCTGCGCTTCCTGCCGACATAATAAGACACCCTAGCAATGACAGGGTCTTTGTGCTGATGTTTTTGCAAGTCTATCAGTGAAAGAGAACGAAACACTTCCTCGTCTCCACTGATTAAAGAGTTGAGATGTTCTGCAACCGATGCTGCTCTACATTCAGTTCCTGTTTCCCATTCTTCACAGGACGACAAAATGGAAGACACGTCATCAGTGGACATTGATGTATCCAGCCCAGCATCATGTGATCCTGTCCCTACTGTTTGCGGTTGGCAGGTAAGACGGAACAACTCTTGCACATTTCCATCCTCTACACTGTGTACTTGTCGCAACAGTTCAGAATAAGGCTCGGACAAAAGCCGCTGACTCACTGGCCTGACAAATGGATTCCTACTGAGCGCATCTGCCACCACGTTGAGTTTTCCAGGAACGTATTTGATCTCAAAGCAATATGGAGCAAGTTTCGAGACCCAGCGCTGCTCACATGCATCCAACTTCGGCTTGGTCATAATGTATGTCAGCGGATTATTATCCGTCCAGACTGTAAACTCATGTCCCTTAAGCCAGTGACTGAACTTATCACACACTGCCCACTTCAGAGCTAAGAATTCCAGTCTGTGTGCAGGATATTTTGTTTGGCTGCGGCTCAAAGCCTTGCTAGCGAACGCTATTGGTCTTGCCTTGTCCTCACCAGCAGGGATCTGAGACAGTACTGCACCTATACCATCCAATGAGGCGTCAGTACAGAGAAGAAAAGGGCGCTCAAAATCAGGATGAGCCAGCACCACACTGTCAACAAGGGCCCTTTTCAGCTCTTCAAATGCCACATCACAGTCAGGGGTCCAGTCCTGGGGTGTCAACTCACGAAAAGTGCCTGCTCTCTTGTGACTACCAGCAGCTTTCACTGAGCGTTTCTGGCCAGCTGTTAAGTTGAATAAGGGTCTGGCAATGCGTGAGCAACTTGGAAT